TCTCTCTCTCTCTCTCTCTCTCTCTCTCTCTCTCTCTCTCTCTCTCTCTCTCTCTCTCTCTCTCTCTCTCTCTCTCTCTCTCTCTCTCTCTCTCTCTCTCTCTCTCTCTCTCTCTCTCTCTCTCTCTCTCTCTCTCTCTCTCTCTCTCTCTCTCTCTCTCTCTCTCTCTCTCTCTCTCTCTCTTTCCAAAAGACGCTCACCTGAATTGTAAAGTTAAAAATGCCTCTTGAAAGTAGAATGGTGTGGTGGGTTTATGGTCTATGTGCAGCTAATTTGATGGTTATTGAAGAAACGTTTCACTTCCAACGGTATCACAACGTATAAACCTTTGAGTTATTTACTCTGATTGACGGGTTAATGCATACGCTGTTCTTGCTCACTTTGTCGAACTGCTTGCTCAACCGGCAAATCTTTCAAGTCACACCAACTACCTTTTTATCTTCACAAACTTACTATAGATCTAGCACTAAATCTGCAATTACCTCGGAGTACGGTACGATTTCTTCATTTCACTTGGCGGTGCTGGTCGCCCGTGCCGCTGAAGCAGAGCTCGCCGACACCTCGTTGCTGGTGGTGTATTGGCCCGCTGCTCCAGGGCTTGGACTTGACCTGGGACGGGGAGAGGCGTGGCAAAGTACTGGTTTGAACCGTTTGAACACCAGAGGCTGACCGGCAAAGCCGCCCCTTTGATTTGCACGGGGGCTTTCCAAAGAGATAATAGGGATTGAAATATAAACAACTCTGGGTACGCCCTTGCCTCGCGCCGAACGGGACCGGCCATCATGGAGTACCTGCAGTCGTTAATGCAAGACGCAGACTTGGTCCACTTTGTGACCACGGTCTATGTATGCAACCTCGCCACCTGGGGCTGCCTGGCCATCTTCTACGAGCTCTGCCACCATTTTCGCTTGTTTCAAGACCGGCTCGTCCGCCCCGTCGGCAACTACCCACCACCCGACCTCATCAAGGCCGCCCTCATTCAAAACCTGTTGGGCAACCTTGTCCTCTACCCCATCTTTGCTGTCCTGATTTACAAGATCTACGTGCACATCCATGGCTCTGTCCCTCTGGAATGGCCCGCGCTGCCTTTGATCCCCTTTCAGATCCTCTTTTGCATGCTCGTCGAAGATACCATGTTCTACTGGACCCACCGCACCCTGCACCACCGCCGCATCTACAAGGTTCGCATTGAGCCTGAGCTTGTGCTCGCGCTCCGTTCCTGTTCTTTGGCGTGCCACCTTCTGGTGACCACGCGTTTGACAGCACTGCCCACTCCTTGCCCCTCACCACCCCATGACTTGACCATGCTCGCAGTACATTCACAAGCAACACCACAAGTTTCGTGACAGCATTGGCCTCGCCGCCGAGTATGCCCACCCCGTGGAAAACCTGTTTGGCAACGTGGTACCACTGTGGATGGGCCCCATGCTTTTAAACGCCTCATTGCCCATCATCTGCCTCTGGTTTGTCATCGACCGCACCATTCTTTCCCCTCGGGCTGAACCTGCTTGGCCTGTTACTCCCCACCATGTCCTTGCTCCTGGCCCTGCTTATCGAGGATCTGTGTCCCTTGCACAGGAGCATATTGCGCGTATGGGAAGCCCACGATTCGCACTCTGGCTACCGTTTTGCCTGGTCCCCCTGGAATCTGTTTCTCACCATTCAGGTTTGTTGACAGTACCGCCTTTTGCACCCTCGTCATGACGCTCCTTTGGCCCGCAATCAAGCTGACTTTGTGCCTGGTGTTTTGCAATGCCTTGAATTGATGCAGGGAGGGGTCGAGCGTCATGATTTTCACCACAGCCATAACAAAGGCTGTTATGGGTCTTTTTTCAGCTTTTGGGACCGCTTCTGTGGCACTGATGAAGCTTTCCGCAATTATCAAGCGAAGAAGCATGAAATCAAAGCCCAAGCCACTGATGCCCAGTGATCGACTTGGTTGGCCGAGTAACTCGGCGGTTGACTTGGCAAGCTTTGTCCCCTCGGTTTCAGTATCTTTCTCCCTGTGCAATTCTTCCTTGCTTGGGCCATGCCCTCTTTTTTTTGTGTGTGTGTGTTCCTCTCGCACGCATTCTTAGTCGTTCATGACATGAGCCGTTGGCCTGTCTCCTGTTGCTGGCTTGGCTCCAAAATCACGATTCAAAAATTCCCCTTTTTTTGACAGTTCGGACACTCCCACACTCAATCTCGTCGAGAGCGGCAGCGATTGTACCACCGGGCTAGATCATGTCGTTGCGGGGAATGCTATGACGGCTCTCAGTCCACAGGGACGGACCTAAAGTCTAGATTTTCAGAGTATTATCCGCTCCCAGTTGCACTCGGTGCTTGAAATAAACCCGCTTTCCCGGCCCGACTCGCCACTACACACCAAACAACTATGCAAAACTCATGCAGCAGTAGATGCCGAGCAGAAGGAGCAAGGAGTGGCAGAGCGCCCAAACGCTGACCGCCAATCACCGGAACCCTTTCTGAACTCATCAAATCCAAGCAAAACAGAGGAGAAAAGTGTTACGGCCATGCCTCGAGCTGCGTCACCAAGCAATCAAACTACAGCCGTAAGCTCCACAGTTTGACCGTCTTGTCGGCGCTACTACTGGCAAACATGGGTTCGGTTGGATGAAACTGAACCTATCGTGTGTCCAGCCAAGGCAGTGATTTGTCAGAGGTGGCGTCTTTATTCACCAGCGCGCACAGCACACGCCAAAGCCTTTGAACGATCACACGTACTGCAATGGCCTTGTTGCTATGCGCAGCAGCCCGCCCATATGAGCCCGCTAAAAACCGATCATGGCCTGGGAGTGCAGACAGCTGAATCTTGCCATCAAAGGCAGCCGACAGCGCCAACGCCGGTGTAGATCCGCTGGAGCGCAGAGCTGAATGTGAGGGCATCACGTGCACGCTCCGCACCTCATCGGCATGTGGCTCCCACGTGAGCACTGCCTACAGTCACCGGTAACGGACGGTCAGCGCAACCCTTGAGAAGATGCCGATGCAACAAGCAGAAAGCCTTTGACCCAACCGTGGCGAGCTGGCAAGTGCTGGTACCATGCCTAGGCTGACCTTTTTCATGCGCAGGTCAATGAGCCCCAGTTGGCCATCGCGGGCGCCAATCAAGCATTGGTGCGTATTTCTACACAGCCAACCAATGCGTGAGCGTGCGTTGTGGAACATTCGGTGCCTGAAACAGAGACGTGTGCACCACGCACGGGAGAACATCCAGCGCCGTGATGCCAGAGTCCCAGCTAAACTGCTCCACGGGGATGGGCTGGCGAGGATCATGGAGACGCAAAATTGCATCTGCGCTGCCCGAAAGGAAAGAACTAGACTGCCATGGGACGATTCGAGCCACCTGGCTGGCACCCGTGCTTTGCTGCAGCTCCACTGTCGCCGACGCTACATTGAGCAGCGCCACGTTGGCGTGCCCGGAGCCAACGGCCGCCAAAACGTGCTGGTTCCTGAGCAGACGCAAAACGCAGTGTGTGGTGGCATCAATGCGGATTCGACCACGTCGAACCAAAGGGCTGGCGGTACGAGTGCAGACTTGGAGCAGCTGCCTACCGAGCAAATGCAATGGAGCGAACGGTGCCTTCGAGGGTGACTGCAGCCATCGGCGTGATACTGTGCGACTGCAGCTCAAACCTAAGGACGCAGCCCAGTGAGCAGAGCAAACAGGTTCAACGGGGGGCGGGGCCTGGGGCTTGGTTGGGAAAGAACAAAAGCACTGACTGAGCTAGCTTGACAACATGATCATTACTGCAAGTTGCCAATATATCGCCGGCATCGTTCCACTGGACGTCATATATCGAGCCGCTATCACAGAAACGCGCAAAGTCAAATGTGGACGTATAGGTGCCAGGAAGCCTTGCGTGCCTCGATCAACAAGACCGAGGTCGGTATGGAGAGCATTTGACATACGCGTGGTAGCGCTCGCGCTGAGCCAAGAGCGTGAGTGTTGTGGGATGCGATGTGGCGGTGCTGGAACGTTCAGCACCCGGGGCAGGAACGGCACAAATTCGAAGCAAGGCGGAGTTGCTGCCCACGGCCAGGAGCGGGGCGTGCGGATGAAAGGCCATGGTGCGGACCGGTTGGTGATCTTCCACTTGACCGATAAACGCGTGCTCCAAGCGTGAGGGTACTGTGGTGCAAGCATGGCGTGGGTAGCGTGGCGCCAGAGCAACGCGCAGAATAAAACAAAACAAAAAGAACCAATAAGGCCCAGATGGGGTGAGCAACCCAAGCTACCGTGACTTGAAGCTGATTTGAAGAACCAAACGAATGGAGTGTGACATCCCACCTTTGGTTAAAGGCGCAAAACTGGGGGCGGCATTCGGTGCCGTGTTGGTCTCGGGAGCCCAGGGTGGGTCGGCAGGTCGCAACTGGCTGGGCCCATGGGTTCTGGGGCCACGATTGGACTTGCTCGCGGGTCGATCGCCCGCAGAAGGGGCGAAGCGGTGGTGAGGGGCCGTGGCTGTTGAAGTTGCAGCTGGGCGTGGGGCGTTTGGGGCGTTGGCAGGGATATTTCCAGTTTGGACGTCCTCGGCGGGCAACGGCTCGGGCCAACGGGATCGTTCAAAGCGAACCTCGGGCGCGGGCAGAGTTTGTGCCAGCAGACCCCGGGCAAGGAGCTGAACGAGGGGGTCCGCACTGGCCTGAGCCGCGCACTGAGCCTCATCTTTGACATTGTGGGGATTGGGCTGGCTGCTGGGTCGGCTGGAGCTGACGCCAGCTCGTGCAGTCAAAAAATGCTGTAGGATGGCCTGCAATTCCTGGGCCAGCTGAAGGCGAAGTCGAGCCAGATGATTCAGAGGGTCGGGGGGCAGAGGCAAGCACCAGGCGCGGATGGTGGCTTCATCAATGGTGCGATCCTGCAGGCGGATGGCACGAACAAGCTCGGTCAGGCGCGTCTCCTGTTCTTGGCGATGAAGCTGGGCCGATTCGTAGGCAGCCGCTAGGCCCAGATGGCAGGTGGCCGGGGTCCAGCAGAGCTCACGGCATTGTTGGCGCCACAGCGCACGGCGAGCTGCGGCATGTTGTTGGGGGTGATCTTGCAGCGAGAGCTTGAGGAGAGCGTGCAGTTCGCTGTACCGCGCCTGCAAGGCCAGGCGCCGCACCGTCTGCAGGGGAGAAGCGCTGGCTGGGGAAGCAGGGGTGGCGGGGTCGGCCTCGGCATCGAGGCCGACGGCCACACAGGCTGCGTATGCAGCGGGCTCTTGGTTTTGGAGGTAGCCCAAAATCATTCGAACCAGGTGTTGGTGTTGGATCGTCACACGCGTGCCCGCGGCTCGGGCAGCAGAGCTGGGCGTGGCCATGACACACTGTCCAGCCGCGTCAAGACTTGGACCTCATGATCCCTCCACGCAGACACGAGGACACAAGAAGTCTGAAACGTCAACAGCCTCTGCCAGGCAGAACCAGGACCGAGCAGGAACAGGATCAGGCGGAACCCGGGGACCAGGCAGAACCAGATACCAGCCAGCCCCAAAGTAGACAAACCCCACACAGTAGTCCAAGGCAGTGCAGTTGCAAGCTCGCGTCTCCCAACCCCCAACACAACTGTCGCGACGCACGAACACCGAGAGAGAGTGCGTGTGTGTGTGTGAGACCGCGACGACGACGAAAAAAAATTTAAAAATAAACTCTTGATCACTGTTTTCGTCTGCCGTCGCCAAGGCAGAAGAGTCCGAACAGCTGTTGAGGATGGCTCAACTGCGTCAGAGAGTTGGCTCCCGCAGAAATTGCTGGTAGAGAGACGGCCTGAGTAACTTTTGACCACAGCGATAGAATCAAGCTGTCTTAGAGATATGCATGTCGTTCCTCCATTATTCAGAGATGTTCCCAGCTAATGATACAACTTCATGCCGGCAGCTGCAACAGTTGGTAGCGCCCTTGGCGCCAATTCCTCATCATCTCATCTCGCAACACTATCACGCAAGGGGACACCACACCCTAATGCAAGGCTGCATAAGGGTTTACACGTATTATGTCACACGTATCTGATGGTGTTCCCGAAGGCCATCTTGCATCGTGGTTGCCTTTTGTTTGAGACACCCTTTCCCATACACTCTCTCCCCCTCTTCTCTGACTGCCATTGGAATTCTCCTTTATATCCAATAATCCAACACCCGCACAACGACCACTCTCTGAAATTCTTTCGTGCTTTTGTTATTTCTCTCTGTGTGTGTCTCTCTCTCGTATTTCTTTTGTGTCCGAGGACGTGTGACGTTGCAGGATCAAAAATCTGATAAAAACGGCAGCGCGCTCTGCGTTTGCCTCGGCTCCTGAACGCGACCAACGACGCCAGTACAGACCGTGTACCGATTTCATTTCCCTTTCAACGCCCCTTTCAGTCCACGATTGCATTTGCATCGCCGCTGGAGGTGCTTCATAACAGTATTGAGGTCGCGTACCCGAACGTGCCACAGCGGCCCCTTTGATCCTTCTCTCTTGACGCTTGGCGCGCACGCACGATCGCCGCCTCTGCCGTCCTGTGCCTCACACGCACACGCACAACGCTCGCACAACGCTCGCACGTCCCTTGTTGGTCGGACTAAGCGTCTCCAAACTGGGGATTGCCACCGCCCCGAATTTGACCAGCTTTTTCTCGAGCCCTTCCCCACCCCTACCCCAACTTTGGCACCGAACACCCGACGGCGCCTCTTTTTTTTTTTTTTTTTCAGCGCCCTGGCCCTGTTAGGGAGGGTGTTTGGACATTGAGCATCAGGCAGTGTCCATTCTTGGAATCTGCTTCCTCCCTTTCATTTTTCCTTTTGCACCAGAATCATGGCATCAAAGGCCGCTCCCGTGACGGCGGCCTCCATGGCTGCTGCTCGTCGCGACCCGCATCATCATCATGAAGTGGCCTCTTCTGATGACGATGATGACGCCGCGCTGATGATTACCGAGTTTAAGCTCGCCGGCATGAACATCTCCGAAGTCCCGACCCGGGTCACCAAGGCCACCTTTCTTCACTTTCTTGACCTTTCCAACAACACACTCACCACCCTTTCCGAGTCTTTTTTCACCCTCGTTCATTTGTACGTCTCACTTGTTTGCTTCAAGCAAGCACCCCCTTGTTCTGTTTTACCGGCCGTGCTTCCCAGTGCGCGTTCTTATCCCCATTGGCTCACCCTCTTTTTCCCATTTGTTGCGCGTCAACAGGACCGAGCTCAACTTGAGCAACAACCACCTTTCAGCCCTGCCCAAGCACATTGGCCAGTTGACAAACCTTGTCAAGCTCGACCTGAGCAGCAACCGCCTCACACATCTGCCCGAAGAACTCACTCAGCTTACAGATTTGGAGGTCGGTTCAATAACAAAAATCAACCTTGGACACCATTGGATGGTTTTTTTCCCCCACCTCGTTTTTGTCCTCCCTCTCCCTCTCTCCCCCTTTCGCTCTTTCCCTCTCCCTTTCTCTTTTTCTCGCCTTCATCTCATGATATGACCCGATTTCTGTTTTTCGTTAGACACTCAATGTGAGCAACAACCGGCTGGCCACCATTCCCGCCCCCGTGCTGGCGCTCGAGCAACTACAAAAGCTCTACATTGGCTCCAACGCCATCACAGCGCTCCCGGCAGACATTGCCCGCTTGAAGAACCTCGAGGTGTTGTACCTCGGCGGCAACCTTCTTCGCACCGTCAACGACAACCTATGCCAGCTCTCGCGGCTGACACTGCTCTACTTGGGTGGCAACCGGCTGCGCAAGCTCTCGCCCAAGATTGCCAATCTACATCGCCTGCGCACCCTCAACCTTCACGATAACCAGCTTCAGTTTCTCCCACCTGCCATTGTGGACATGCGTTCTCTGCGCCAGCTCTCGCTGCGTAATAATCCCCTCGTCACGGACTTTGTTGAAGACGTGCGGCCTGAGCCCCTGTCACTCTTGGAGCTTTGCGCGCGTGAAATCAAGCGCAATGGCATCAAGTATTGCCGTCACTGCCTGCCCGCCGAGCTTTGCCGCTACCTCGACTCGGCCAAGTGCTGTAGCAACCCGGCGTGCATGGGCGTCTACTTTACCGAAGGTGCCCGCTCTGTGGAGTTTGTCGATGTGTGTGGCAAGTACCGCGTGCCTCTCATGAAATACGTCTGCACGCACGGTTGCGAGGTATGTCATTTGCTTGCTTTTTACCACCACCACCGCCGCCGCCGCCTCGACGCGCGTGGTAGCGGGGCAGACTTGGCCTCTGGTCTTGGTCTTTTCCCCTCTCTCTCCCCTCCACGTGACTCTAATTGCGCCATCTCACGCGGTATCTGCCTTTACTCTATGTTTCCTTTTGATCCGTTTAGCCGCGCAAGCCGCATGCATCAACCGCCTCTGTTCCCTCTGCCTCTGGTGCCGCCAGCAGCACCGCTGCGGCTTCTGCCCCGGCCCCCGCATCCTCATCGGGTGGTGCTCGTGACAAGGCCGACCTTTCTCCAGCACAGCAAGCGCGCCTTCAGCGCGTGCTCCTGACAGGCTACAAGGAAGAGGAGTGCTGTCACTCCTAAAAAAAACCTTTCTCCTCTGGCGTCTATTGCATGTCCGGCCTTTGTCTTCTTCCTTGTTTAGTTCGTGTCTATGGGGTGCGTTGCCTGAGGCAATGCTGACTTGAGGTTGTTTGTCAAGTCGTGTCGAGCCCAGCCGCACATTGGGACGGGATGTTTTTGCTTGTTTTTATCTATCTCTTCGTCCATGTGCTAGTTGTCTTTGATCATTTTTTGCTACATGATATGCAACCCTTATCTGCCGTTTTTAAATCGACCCTTTGTATCATCATGACATAACTTTTTCCCGGAAAGCGCCAATGTGTGCGTAGCAAGAGTCTTTGGTTGCCAATTTCATCGGGAGGCTCATCTCATCATAAACGCCGTCACCGAATCCAATAAAGCGTATGTAGCGCAAAGCGCCCGAGCAACACTCTCATCCACACACTCAAAACGCGTTCACACACACGACATGAAACACAACCATCTCACAAACACAAAAGACATTTCCCATCATGAGCCCGCAAGAGGAAGAAGGCCTATTAGAGCGACTTTAGCGCCTACCAATCAAACCACCAACGCGCCAGACCTACGCCTCCACCTTGCCGAGCTGCTCGCCGAGACTATGTGACAAGGCCGAGGCCTATCGGAAATTGGCAAGACGCAAAGGTTTCAGTCACACACCCAATTGTCCGCAAGATCAGATCATCAAATGTAGCGTGCTTATAGCAAATGCTTCCCACCTTGGCATGTAGCAGACCAACGGCAGCCTGATTTTCAGCCACCAGACACAACAGAAGCTTGTTCACGGGTCGCACCACTACCACACGCTCCTACACCAGCACACAGGACCGTCAGCCTGGATTTGGGGATCGCTCAAGTCACTCAACAGTTTTAAAAGAAGAATGATCGAGACTAACCTCGCAAATGGCCGTCAAAGATTGAAGCTCTGTGGCTGAGATGCCCTCACGGTGCGATTCAAAGAGATTCCAGGCGTGGCTTGCGATCGAGGCCGTCAGCTGGTGTGCAGATGGGTCAGGGTTGGTGTGGCAGCACCATCATCATGTCATATCCCAGCAAGGATTACAAAACGATGCGCAAATGGGAATTCTTACCGCGGTGGAGAGGTCGTCACCCGCCATGCCGAGCTGTCCGCCATCCTTTTGCAGCAACCTGGTCAGAGCCGGGTGCAACGATACCGATGAGAACACCGTCCACCCGCTGGAGCGAGGCACGGCAAGGGGCCAGAAAGGAACGCACAATACACCAGCACAGCCGTTGCCGATGCTGGCCTCGAGGGCATTGTTGATGGCCTTGACACGATACATGATGTCAAAGGAAGGAAGGAAGGAAGGAAGCTCTGAAGAAGAAGAAGAAGACACACCCGTCAGGATGAGGCGACAAGAAGCAGCGTCGCGCGCTTGAGAGAATGGCGTTTTGTCAAACCAAAGGCTCTCCCCACTCCAAACCAACATTCCTCATGATCAGCGTCTCCCTTTCCCCTCTTCTCGCCCCTCGGCACTCCATCCTCCCGTCACCGGCCATCGGCTGCCATTCTCTTCCTCTCTCCCTCAATCACATGCCCACACACACACACACACACACACACACACACACACACGCACACACACGCACACACGTACTGAGAGATGGAGAGATGGAGAAACTGTATACAACTACTGTTATCAACACTAGGCTCAGATTGGAAGCAAGCCAAATTCATCTCTTCTCTCTCTCTCAAATCTCTCAAAATCTCTCTCTCTAACAGGTAAATCGCTCTTCTCTCTCTCTCTCTCTCTCT